TGGGACAGGTTGGGTGAGGTGGGATGGGACCCCCAATGTCACCTGGACACATTTTGGGACAGGGACCCCCTTTTTTTGGGACAGGGACCCCCAAGGTCACCTGGACACATTTTGGGACAGGATCCTCCCAGTCCCTTCCCCGGACATCCCCCAGTCCCTCCCAGTCCCTCTCCCACTGGGAACGCCCTCAGCTCTCCAGCTGTGCCCTCACCCCCCTGGAGACCCCCCAGGACCCCCCCCAGCCCCCAGTCGACCCAGTAACGGGCGCACTGGGAGCGCTGGGTGTGGCCCATCCCTTCCCTGACCCTCCCCAGAGCCGGGAAAGCCCCTCATGGTGCCTCCACCCCCCGGAACCCCCGGATCCTCCACCGGGATCCGAGCGCCCCGAGGAGCCCTCGTTACCCGGGGGGGGTTAATTGAGGCCCCTGCTGAGGTTTGTGGGGCGCAGGGAACCCCCCCAGGAGCCCAGGGTGGGTGAGGAGGGTCCCGGTACCGGTGAAGAGCTCGGTGTAGAGCATGAACACGGCCTTGTTGTCCCAGGGGTTCTCGTTCTGCAGGTCGATGGAGTGCAGCACGTACTTGATGAAGATGGTCAGGACCATGGTCAGCAGGATGGCGTACTGGGGACAGGAGGGGACACAGGGGACACAGGGGACACAGGTCAGAACCATCGTCAGCAGGATGGAGTACTGGGGACAGGAGGGGACACCAGTCAGGGGGGACATGGGGGGGACACAGGGGACACAGGTCAGGACCATCGTCAGCAGGATGGAGTACTGGGGACAAAGGGACACAGGGGACACAGGAGAGCCCCATGGTCAGCAGGATGGTGTACTGGGGACAGAGAGGGGACACCAGTCAGGGGGGACATGGGGGGGGCAGAGAGGGACAGGTGAGCCCCATGGTCAGCAGGATGGTGCACTGGGGACACAGGGGATATGGGGTCAGGGGGCACACAGGGGACATGGGGGGGACAGGGAGGGACAGGGGGGGCTGCCGTGGTCAGCAGGATGATGTACTGGGGATTTGGGGGTCCCAAGGAGAACATCCCAGGGGGTCTGAGGATCCCCGCCTGGACCATCCCAAGGGTCTGGGGGTCCCAAGGAGAACATCCCAGGGGTTTGGAGATCACCCCTTGGACCATCCCAGGGGATTTGGGGATCCCAAGGAGAACAGCCCAAGGGTCTGAGGGTCCCCCCTGGATCATCCCAGAGATTTGGGGGTCCCCCATGGACCATCCCAGGGATCTGGGGATCCCAAGGAGAACACCCCAGGATTTTGGGGGGTCCCAAAGAGGATTTTGGGGGTCCCAAGGAGGATTTTGGGGGTCCCAGGGGTCGGGTCCCACCTCGAATCCGAAGACGAGCTGGACGGAGGCTCCACGGGTGAGGATGCTGTGGTAGGCGTGGGACACGAACAGCGAGTCCAGCAGGGCCAGCAGGAACATCAGCGCTGGGGACACCAGCACGGACCAGTACGGACCAGTACAGACCTCCCAGGAAGCTCCCAAGGCCTCCCAGTACGTCCCAATATGAACCTTGCAGGAACTTCCCAGTATGGACCTCCCAGGAACCTCCCAGGGCCTCCCAGTACAGACCAGCAGGGATCTCCCAGGGCCTCCCAGTGCGTCCCTCCCAGGAACCTCCCAGTATGGCCCAGTATGGACCTCCCAGGAACCTCCCAGTGCCCTCCCAGTACAGCCCAGTATGGCCCAGGAACCTCCCAGTACGGCCCTGTGCCCTCCCAGGGCCTCCCAGTAACCTCCCAGTACAGCCCAGTATACCTCAGTGCCTAAACCCCTTCCTCAGCCCCAGAAATCCCCCTAAAACACCCCAATTCCTCCTAAAACCAGTTTTAGGGTCCCTAAAACCCCTTCCTCAGCCCCAGGGATCCCCCAAAACACCCCAATTCCTCCTAAAACCGGTTTTAGGGTCCCTAAACCCCCAGAAATCCCCCCCAAACACCCCAATTCCTCCCAAAACCAGTTTTAGGGTCCCTGAACCCCCTTTCCCAGCCCCAGGGATCCCCCCCAAACACCCCAATTCCTCCTAAAACCGGTTTTAAGTCCCTAAAATCCCTTCCTCAGATCCAGGGATGCCCCAAAACACCCCAATTCCTCCCAAAACCGGTTTTAGGGTCCCTGAACCCCCCTTCCCAGCCCCAGGGCCGAGGTTTTGCTGTGGATCTCTGGGTTCGGGGTCATGTTTTCCCCCCCCCAGAACCCCATTAGTGCCCCCTCGTTAAGGGGCCCGCCCTGATAAGGGTTTGTCGGGGCCCCACGTGCAAAAAGGAGGGGCCCAAATGACCCCAAAGGGATCCCAAAACTCACAGACAATCCGGAAGTGGAAGAGCCACGAGATGTTGGGGCTTCGCTCCATCTGGGAAAGGGGGGAAAAGTGGGGGAGTTACTCCAAAAAAAGAGGGTTTAAGGATGGTTTTAGGGCTGGTTTTAGGGCTGGGGGAGTTTTAGGGTGGGTGGCAGGAGTGGTTTAGGGTTGGGTTTAAGCCCTTGGGGGCTTTAGGGTGGGTTGTGGGGGTGGTTTAGGGTTGGGTTTGGGGCTGAGGGGGTTTTAGGGGGGGTTGTAGAAGTGGTTCTAGGGTTGGGGGAGTTTAGAGTGGTTTTAGGGTGGTTTAGGGTTGGTTTTAGAGCTGGGGGGGTTTAGGGTTGGTTTTGGTTTAGGGTGGTTTTAGGGCTGGTTTAGGGATGTTTTTAAAGCCGTTTTAGAGTGTTTTTAAGGCTGTTTTAGGGTGTTTTTAGGGCTGTTTCAGGGTGGTTTTGGGGCTGTTTTAAGAGTGGGTTTTGGGCTTTTTCCAGGTTGGTTTAGGGTGTTTTTAAGGCTGTTTTAGGATGGTTTAGGGTGGTTTTGGGGCTGTTTCCCCTCTCCCAGCACTCACAAAGTCCACCCTGTCCTCGGCCAGCCAGTTTAGGGCTGGTTTAAGGCAGTTTTAGGGCTGTTTTAAGGCTGTTTTAGGGCTGTTTATCCCCTGCCTTAGTACTCATAAAATCCACCCTGTCCTCGGCCAACCAGTTTAGGGCTGGTTTAGGGTGGTTTTAGGGCTGTTTCCCCTGTCCCAGCCCTCACAAAGTCCACCCTGTCCTCAGCCAGCCAGTTTAGGGCTGTTTTGGGGCTGTTTTAGGGCAGTTTTAGGTGGTTTTGGGGCTGTTTCCCCTCTCCCAGCACTCACAAAGTCCACCCTGTCCTCGGCCA